CGTCATGCCACGAGGAAAACGTTGGGGAAGAACCAGATTCACTGAGAAAGAGGAAGTGACCAAATGCTTCTACAGTCAGTCAGCCTTTATGTACGACATTGGTGATCGTGAAGAAGGAGGACAATACTTAGTGAATGGCGTCGAAGTCAACCCAATTAGCCGAGGTGTGAAGAATCGTCACGAGCTTGATGTGCTGATTGAGCGTGCGGCTGAGGAATCCCCGCCTGTTTTGCCGACCATTGAGGAGCTGAACGCTTGGAAACACATTGATCATGATGTATACATGAAATGGCTTACTGAAGAAAGAAAACAACATGGAAACAACTGGAACTTCAAGTACATCCAACCATTCACACATGGCCACAACATTGGTACACTTCAACTTGCTCGCATCAACGGAGAAGAATATCTTGGAATGGGCTGGTGTAAGGTGCATCGATATGGCGAGAATGAGTGGATGGGCAACAAGTGGGAAAATCCGCCATGGATAGTCGAACTGTCGAAAAGATTCAATGCTGCGCTACGCCACTCCGTGGGTTGCGTCAGAGACAGCCGAAATCACCGTGGACTACCATGCGACGAGGCAGGTTGGGTCAATGTTGAGTCGATCTTGAAGTACGATGCCATTTGGAGAGACCAACATACATTGGCTGGAACGACACATGTCAACTACCCGATACTTGTTGAGAGGTGGAACAATTTCCAGAGAGTGATTTTCACTGAGTACAAGCAAACGAAGAGAATCCGAGCTCAAGTGCTAGGACTCAAGGTCACAAAAGCTGAGTTGGAATATCTCATGGACAACTTCAATGATGGATTGACCTCGAGACTTGATCGACAAACACTGAGGTTAGAGATCGGCACAGCAGATCGAGAGATTTGGCTTTGGCCGGTGGCAATCCGAGCCCCTATGGCACATTCAAGAGTTCAAGGCGGTGTGCACATCGAAGACAAGAAGACTTCCTATCAGATGAACCCTGGAGTAGGATACACTCTTGGAGGAGGATTTCACTGCACCACATTTGACAACATCGCTCAAATCTTCAGAGAAGGACTACGTCCCGGAGGAGGAGGCGACCGCATCAACACGTTCTTCGTGCCATTCGCACCGTGGGACGTGAGAAGTCAGACGGTGCTGAGATTTAGGAAGATCGATCAAACTGATCTTGTCTACATCTACATCACGTACGATTCCATCGCCAAGTTCTCCCCCAGAATGTCAGCAGACGGACACATTTTGGTCCAAGAAACAATTCCATTCGAATCATTCGATGCAGTTTGGTATTATGATTGGAGGGAAAAGGACTATTACCGTCTCATGATCACAAAGGGAAGAGATCAACTTGTTCTTTCTGTGCAAGGAGCGAAGAGAGTGGCCACCCTTGAACGATTTGACAAGCTCATTGGGAACATTGTACCTGATGAATCATCACCCGATTTGGACGAACTTCGAAAACTTGTCGACATCAGGACCGGTCACTTCAGTCATACTCACAGATTGTTTCCTGGACATCCGGATTGGAATGACGCGATATCATTATTAGCAGTCACTCATCATCCAAGCAAAGAGGACCATCGACTATGCCCCGCATGTCTGATGGAAACCCCTGCACCATTATCGATTTGTGTGATGTGCAAAGGATTTTTGGTGAGTCATGGGTGGAGGAAACGAATCAAGATCACCGTGGCTACAGTACCAAGTGCCGAATCACATCAACGAGAAGAAGATCTCAAAGACCATGTCAAGAAAGCATGGGAGGAGGTGAAGATCGATTTGACAGGTGATGGTGATGACGACGAGGCGATGCCAGATGATGATGACGTCACCATGAAGAGTCCAGAACAAGAACCTCAACCAGAAGAAGAAAATGATGATCAAGCATCGAAGAAGGGCGACATCAACGATGAGAAAAGAGACTTCAGAGAACAGGATGAGGTCGATGAATTTCTCAATCAAGAAGGAAAACCGACCGACGAGAATGATGATGAAGAAACAGCGGTCGATGAAATCAACATTGAAGAGTATGAGGCTGGAGAAGCTCGTGATGCAGAGATTGAGTACCCCAAGTGGATGCAGCGGATTGAGTTTGGATCAAAGGTCCTACCAATCGAACCTTGCACAATTGGAGATGCTCAGCCAGAATTCATCAAGATCCTCCTGTTGCAGATTGGATTACATATCGTCAGGATCTACAGACTATTCCAACGGAACTTCTGTGGAGACATCGAGACGGCATGGAAACATTTTCAACAGAACCAGAAATTCAGGATGGACCTGGACTCAAGAACACCTTACCTGGGCGAGGATGAAAATGGTGAACTCATTGAACCAACTGCACAACAGATGAAAGAGCTCTACAAAGAGATCGGCCGACCAAATCAAAAGGACGACATCGGAGAAGAGGGATTCGTCAATGCATACTATGGGGCAGTGGTACTCAAAAGACTTCTCGTATATACCCTTGAATGTGGCTACATGTATGATGACTTGCAAAACATATTCTTTGATGAGGAGATGGAGAAGCTGTCGAAGCGTGACACAACAATGGATGAGATGAGAAAGACCACAGCGGCCCGCGACGCCCTTGACCGACAAGATGTCATGGTCAGAAGAATCATTGCAGGTGCATATAGGGTAAATGCTGTTTATTTCTTCAGGAACGTTGACTTTCAAGACACAATCACACTGAATCCAGTTGACATTGTGTGTGCTCTTCGTCCACCACTTCGAAGAATATCACTTTTACACCTGATCCTTCAGAATGGCCGACAATTGCCACGACCTCTACTCCAAAAGCTATATGATGCGATCGATGACTACAATCACATTAAGCAACGGGAAGATCAACGACCAAGGTGGGGCATCCACTTGTCTGAAGCTCACATACTTGCGATTGCTGATGCCCCGACTCCTGCTGATCGTGAACATACTAATCCAGCCGCTGGCAAGTCGAAAGCAGCCCCGAAAGCTACACCAGCACTGGGAAGAGTGTCGAAAGCGAAAGCATCATCATCAGCAACATGGAGAACAGTTGAAACCGCTCCTCCGCCAAAACAAGCTCCAGTGACCCCGCCAAAGAAGGGTGGAAAAGATCAAGGAAAAGGTGGAAAATCTTATTCACACCGTGGCGGAGACTGGAACCAACAGGGATACTATGGATGGGGATATAGATGATTAAGCGATCTGACCTCTGCATAGGTCCTGATTGAACCTGGCGAAGCGGCATGCAATCATTGCTCGAGATTTACCTCTACTTCATTTTGAATGATTTCTGAGAGGACTCTGAGCCGGCTAATTTAGAACCACACATTTTTTTTTGAACATCATTGCATGAGACGCTGAGTTTCTACAGCGGTCTACATCTCAACCGACGAAGGAACGGGAAAGTAAACTTCTAGTTCCATAGTCATCTTAGTGTTTGATTTTTAATTCACATGCTTGAGTGGGACTCCATGCTGGCTACGCCACATCGGATGAACCTCAATGCTTGACACCGACTACGTCGTGTCAACATGCACGTGAACAGAACCTTTATCTTTTGGTAGAGATTGTAGCAAGCCGCCATGTAGATATGAAGTTCTGAACGGACTTTAGCTCTCCATAATTCAATAAATGAACAGCTGCGAGTGTAGTGGATCAATTTGAAGGACACTCCTTTGCGCGTAGCCAACAAAGTTGGCTATGCGTGGGGGGTGCGAATAGAGTGTAGGCTACGGATCACTGTATACATGCATAATCATACACTCTAGGATCCAACGTCGAAGGGGCACTCCAACATTGGCCTCTTTGGCTCAAGACATACTGCAGCTACAGGGAAAATGAAAGCCATGCGGAAGCTGCCGCCTTCGTGAAGTCGTCACTGCAACAGCAAGTATCAACATCAATTACAGGAACATAATCGGGCCAACAATCCCCGATTCTCAATCTATCCATCTATCCATCTATCCATCTATCCATCTATCCATCTATCCATCTATCCATCTATCTATCTATCTACCTATCTATCTATCTATCTAACTAACTAACTAACTAATCAATAAAATCCATCTAATGCATCTAATCCCCTAATCTATCTAATCTATCTCATCTATCTCATCTATCTCATCTATCTCATTTACCTCATTTATCTCATCTATCCATCTATCTACCTACCTACTCTTCTAATTTATGTATCTATCTATCTATCTATCTAGCTAGCTAGCTAGCTACCTACCTACCTACCTACCTACCTACCTAATCTATGTATCTATCTATCTATCTATCCATCTATCTATCTATCTACCTACCTACCTAATCTATGTATCTATCTATCTATCTAGCTATCTATCTATCTACCTACCTAATCGATGTATCTATCTATCTATCTACCTACCTACCTAATTTATGTATCTATGTATCTGTGTATCGATGTATCGATGTATCTATGTGTGTATGTATCTTTGTATCTATGTATCTATCTATCTATCTATCTTTCTTTCTATCTTTCTTTCTATCTTTCTTTCTATCTTTCTTTCTATCTTTCTTTCTATCTAATTCTATCTAATTCTATCTAATTCTATCTAATTCTATCTAAATCTATCTATCTATCTATCTATCTATCTATCTATCTATCTATCTATCTATCTACGTATCTAACTATATCTAACTATATCTAACTATATCTAACTATATCTAACTATATCTAACTATATCTAACTATCTATCTATAGTGGTACCTGTTCTGGTATTGGTGCAGGCACACACGCACACATACACACGCACAAATGCCAAACTATGTAAGCGTGCTTGGTGCCTGCCCGGCTCGAGATCATTGACCACTTCCATCTTGTTTGCAGCATTTGTTTTTAGCAGAAGCAATGGCTCAATTGGTTGATGTAGAGACGGACATCTTGACAAACTTTAGGGGTGCTTTCTGTCTCTGGTTCCAGATTTTAATACAGTTCTTACTGCGTGCCATCAGATTCCTTCCCCCAAATCCCGATCCCCACCCAGTGATAAGGATTTGTTTGGTGAGCTCAGTGACTTGGCCAAAACTCGGCAAAATGGGGTCGTGGGAGATGTTCAGCTGATCCAGTTGCTCGGTTTTCTTTCACCACGAGTTCTGTTGGACCAGGGGCTCCCCAAGACTCTGCAAGCCCAAAAACGGCGCGACTCTTCAAGTTCAATTTGAGGGGATGTAGATGTGTGTCTCTTCAGCTGGCCACCAAAATCCATGGAACATTGACATTACATCAAACTCAGCATTCAGATTGGGCATGGCATCAGCGCCATCTTCGGCTCGTTCTACTCCTTGACCAATTAATGCTCTCCAGGGCGGTGTATTGTGTCACTTGACTGTGTCAGGAGACCTACGACCAAGCCGTCAGGTGGGTACGGATTACCGATCGGATCCTTACAAATTCAGAATTAAGCCACGTTGACGTCTTGCCATGTCTTGCCTTTGAGGTTTTGAATTGCCGCTTTCAGTTGTTTCTGGCGGGTTTGATAGATTCGGATGCACCAGCCAGACTTGATCATCCAGTGCGGAGCGATGGCGGCAGGTTAGCCTACAAGCCGGATGCCAAGATCGATTGGGAGTGGCGAGGAGAAGCAATGGCCGGTCGCCGGTCTCCCACACCTGATTTTATGGTTCCTTGGAAGTCCTCGGCAGGGGGTATCATGCCTTCGATGCCAAGTGCAATGAGTAATTGGAAGGATATGGAAGGATCACTGGATGGAAAATAAGTAGTGCTGTGACTGTGGAAGGATCTATGGTGAAGTGACAATCGCACCGAAGCTTTTTGAAGGCGACGGCAAGTCTTCAAGTTTATAGTGTTGCTGCTCATGGCTGTTGTTGTGGCTGTTGCTGTTGCTGCTGCTGCTGCCGCCGCCGCCGCTGCTGCTAGTGCTGCTAGTACTGCTAGTACTGCTCTTGCTGCTGCTGCTGATGATGATGATGATGAATATGAATATGTAGAAGAAGATGATGATGGTGACGATTGTGGGTATGATTATGATATATGATGATCACGGTCATGATTATGATTATGGTAAACGTGATGGTAATTGGGATGGTGACTGGGATGGTGACTGTGTTGTCGATGTTGTCGATGTTGTCGACATTGTCGTCGTTGTTGTGGTTGTGGTTGTGGTTGTGGTTGTGGTGGCGGTGGCGGTGGCGGTGGCGGTGGCGGTTGGTGTTGGTGTTGGTGTTGGTGTTGGTGTTGTTGTTGTTGTTGTTGTTGTTCCTGTTCTTGTTTTTTGTTGTTGTGGTTGTTGTTGTTGTTGTTGTTGTCGATGATGACTATGATTATGATGATTTTGATGACAATGATGCTGATCGTGATTGAGATCCTGGTTGGTCGTGATCATGATGATGGGCAAGTGCGCACAAAACTCAACTAACCGCTTCGAATGCCAAGGTTGCTTGCATTTGATGCCCCAGCTGTGGTCAAGCATGTGGTAAAATTTCGATCAGTCTGACCAGACCCACGTTCCTGCATGGAAACTGGTTAATACGGAAAAAAAACAAAATTCGCAGACACATTTTTTTATCGTTTTTTTTTCGTTAGTGTAAAGTCACGTCTACCGCGGACTACATCAATGCCTGACATTGAAGTCTCATGAGTGTTTTTCATATTTTTTTCTTGGTTTCTTAACCATGTTTGGACCTGGAGTGGGCAGTGCGAGCCGCAAGCCGCATGGCACGCCAGCTGCTTGGGTTGGGAGCGGAAATTCAGATGCCGCGATCCATCAAATGATGGGGTGTAAAGGTGGTCAGCCCACCTGTTCCGTTGCCTCTTGCAAGCTTTTCGGGCCGTGTCCCATGTTCAAATTCTTTAAATAGATACTCCAGCAGGAGTTGGGGCAGCAGCAAACCGTTCTGGGAACACAGGTTTCTTACCCAACCACCTCTTCAGCACATGATCGTGCTCACCCAGCCTTTGAGAAAAGATGCGGCAGGGCTGCGAAGGGACTGATAGAAGCAACTCATCATTGCCAAACTGTGGATGTTTGAAATTGTTTGAATATTATTGAAATACATTGACTTGAAGTTGAATGAATTTGGCGTACAGCGAATGAACTTGTAAAACATATGTATATATATCTTCAAAAATATAGATCCACATACACATATATATATTTAAAAATATAATATATATAGATATACATACATTGATCCACGCACACACGCACATATATATATATATAGATGCATACATACATAACATACATACATACAAAACATACATAACATACATACATACATACATACATGCATGCATGCATGCATGCATACATACATCCATACATCCATACATCCATACATACATACATACATACATACACATACATACACATACATACACATA